TTCGCGTTTTTCTGCTTCTTGGGGATTGATCCTGAGATTATACAGTAATACCTGTAAATACTGAAATTCTCGGTTTTTCTCAATTTTATGCCAGCCATCCTTGACTCATTTTGAATTGAATGCGTGTTGCCTAAAATTCCCTACAAGTATCAAAATGTTAGTTGCTTTGATGAAGTAAGTTATTTTAATTTTTATCATGGTTTTTCGACTTGGCTGGTTTGTTCGTTTGGCACGAGTTGAGTGGATTGAGAAGTTGACTGAGGCGAAACCTTCCTGGCATTCCAAAAAAAAAAACAGCCTCGTTCACATTTTAGGGGAAAATATAGCCTCTATTTCCATCGTGTAAATTTGAAATTATATTTTCAAGCGTCATACAATTCGGTTTGATTATTTTTGGTTCTGATCGATGAGATCTTTAGCTGATCAATAATACCTCAATTTCAAATTTCTTGTGCCCTGTCATCACTATAACTACCACAGTATCATCAAGATATACATTTTGAAAAATAAATGGCCAATTGTGAAAACTGGTGAGCTTTTGCCGCTTGCCGACAGGAACCAGGAGCAGAGTTGCCAGCGGGGAAACACAGGAGCTACTACATCGCCGTCGATGACGCTGGCAACAGGGCGCGTTGTCACTTCACTGTGACAGTGTCACGTGAGTTTGCTTCACTAGTTCAATTGCCCATTGCCTAGCCCTGCGTCTACCCTAAAGCCCCGAGTGACCCAGTATAAGATATATTTCAAGATAAATTATAAACAGACCCTGATGGCATCCTTAAATTTTCATGCACCCACCGCCGATTTGCATACTTTTCGCAGAGCGCCTAAAATTGAACAAGTGCGAATTGTTAGGACGAGTTCAAATATTTTCGCAAATGTATTTACGAAGGTTGGTTCACAAGTTTTGCCAGTCTTGTTCTTTGCATACTTTTCTTTGCTGAGTTTTGCGTGCTAAATGGATGTTTACTTAATTTCAACATAGTCGGAGGATCAATCCTATCAATTCCTGATTTTATGTCTAAATTGATGACAGACTGCGTTGAAACCGTGAATTAAAAAAAAAACTATCAGGCTTTTTGAAAGTAAAAGGGGTTGAAGTGCACCCAAATATTCTGAATGTTATAGAAATATTCTCAAGATACATTTTGCATGAGATACGCAAAAACGGTGAATGAGAAAATTTTCGCTCACTTTTATGTGTTATATATAGTGCTGCTTAAATGTGAGGTTGGTTTTATTTTGGTGGAGAAAAAATGTGTTGAAGTCTCAGTTGGAAATGGAGAACAGCCCTTTATAATTCGACAATTCCCTCAATTTTCCGAGCAGCAATGAAATACACTACAGAAACTATATATTGTAGTTATGTTTGAATGATACAGTACTACCAAAACAGTGAATCATCCCTCGAATTCTATCTAGAAAGAAACTAGAAATGTTTTTCCAGCAGTTTATGGGAACCCCGAAAATTGTTAGAAGGCAAAGGAATTTTCTCTGCACAAACGAGAGGAATTAGCTGCTTATTTCATTTGAAAAATCTTCTGATGCTGTTTTCTGTTTGCCTTTTTCCATGTTGGTGGATGATGGATGTTAAAATTCTGGGACGTGGTGGGAATCGGATTCGGCCTCAACATGTGGTATTTTTTTCCTCGGTTGTCTCTTCGATTTTTTTGATTGTCCCTTCGATTGACTACTGCATTGTGATTGATCAACCCCCACCCCATCCTTGTTTCCGCAATTTTGCGATCTGACTTCATTGTATATCTGACGTGGGTTTCGTTGGTGATGCTGGGTGCGCTTGGGGTCCTATTGTAGGCAGGGAATGCTTTGTGCTGAAACCTCCGGTTTATGGGAGCTTGATTTGTAAAACCTTTGGGGACGGTTTTAAGTCGTGTGTGGCATCTTGTCATGATGGTTACGTTCCTTATTATTCCATGCCTCGACGAATGATTTGTGGACCCGCTCGGATTTGGAAACCCAGCCGAGGCATCCCGGAGTGTTCAGGTAAGCAATGTTCATCAAAACTTGTCACCCAAAAAAAATTAGTTTATTTCCCATGATCCGCTCAATTATGTAAACTTAGTCGCAGATTTGAAAGAAAAAAAAAACTTACAGCTTCATTTAAACAGCCGACAATCAGCAGCATGCGTTTATTGCGAATATTCATCAACAGAGAGCCTTCTTCGCGATCAAACTACAATGCAACAGGAGAAAAACAAAAATTATATTTCGTGAGAACAATTAATCGCACAATATTTGAATAAATTTCAATAAGAAAGCGTTGATAGTTTTGTCTGAGGACATTGCGTGTACACCACTTGTGCACTATTTGTGCAATGTACGATGACGACAGAACATCAATTTTCATCGTTAAAGAAAATTTAGAAACAAAATTTACCACGATTTCATTTGTGCGCGACAGGCTCCAGTTGTGTTTTTTTCTCGCGCATATCTCAAAATATCGTAGCAAGAGCACATTATTTTGGCATGGTTTTAACGGAAATACTATTGCTTTGGCTTACAGCAATCGTTAGGCAGACGAGTGGCGGTTGTTTGCCCGGGTTCGAGCCCAGGATCCTTCGTGAAGGCGTTTGTGGTACGTTGATATTTTTTAATTAAGAAAGAAAATAGAGTATATGTAATCACGCTTCCGATTTGTTTATTTTATATAGTGGCATGTCCCCCCGGGATGTACAGTCCTCACGGACAATCATCGTGTCTCCAGTGTCCAGTGGGGACTTACCAGTCTCAATTCGCCAGGTTTGTTGAAAAACATGAATAACTTGAAGTTAATGGTGAACGATTTGTCGTGCACATATATTATACAGGGTATAAGAATAAGTAGCTCATTTTGGTGCAGCGTGTCCCAAGTTCTGCATCCACTTGAGCATACCACGCGCCCTCAATTAAGACACGAACCCCAAATTTCTGATTTCAAGATTTTGATGGAATCCCATAACCGACGAAGACGCACGCCCTATTTTTTAGTGAAAACTACGATGTTTTAAAAATTAGAGGTATCAAAATTCAAATTTGAAAATGAATTCAATCTGAATTCAAGAACAGTTGAAACTCTTCGAGTCATCTTCAAGGGACCAGAAAAAGTTTCGATTTAGGGAGGTACGGGAAAAAAGTATTGGGGGGATGAAGAAATAAGAATTACTGTACAGTATATGAAATCATAACTGGTGATATTCTGGACCTGAAATTACTTCTGGAATTAGTTGACAGGATACTGAAGTTTAAGCAAGGGTTTATTTGCCCAGTTACTCTTTCAATTTCTTTTAAAACACATCAAGTTACATTTTCATCACTTTTATCTTTCCTGAGTCAATACAATAATAGCCAAAAGGCCTCCAGAAAATTCTAGTTATAGAGATTTGAAAGGAAAAGACTTTAGAGTCACGGCGGTTTCTAATCCATTGTTTCCAGGGGAATTCAGAATATTTTACATAAGGAGGCATTTCACTTGAGGAGGTTCAAGTTAATGTATTGAGGTTGAAATGTATTTTTCAATTGTTTTGATTTTAAAAAGTTCCTGTCAAAAATCCCTCATGGCATTCAAGAGTGACGCACACCAAAACTCCTAGCATTTTTTTTTTAGAATTTCATCTCCGCCTATGACGCGCATTCCCCCCTTTTTCCCTCTCAATTTTGAGGGGAAAATGCGTGTGGTACTCAAGTAAATACGGTAGAAAGAGACGTAGTCACGCTTCCATGCGTTGAACATTAAAGCGCTTCGGCGAACAAAATTTACTGCGCAATATTTCAAGGAGAATAGCCATTCTCGATTCGGGAAGAGAAAAAAAAGCATTTGCTTCGATAATTCAGAAACGAATGCAAGGAGTGCGGCAGTGGGCAGACCACCGCAGGAATCGGCTCCCATTCAGAAGAAGATTGCTACGAAATCGACGACCTGGGCACGACAGGCCTCGACTAACCGGAAATTTCACTGCTGCAGCTAGCCCTGAACCATCCGCTAGCCCACCTCACTAGACAACTGCGACGGGATCAACTCAAAGAAAACCCCTCTTAACCCACCGATCAATTTTTACCAAACGAGTGATACGCTATGTCAATTTGTTTCTTCTCATGACTTTTACGTTCGGGGTACGAAATCTGGGGGTTCGCTTTCAACCCCGACCCACCCAGAGAGATTCCGTGCCAAACGCCGAAAATCGCACTTTGTGGCCTTTGAGAATTAAGAAAGAAAAATGCCGGATTTTGACGGAGAAAAGGAAGAGAGAAATTTCGGAAAGGGTGCTCTTGGACTTCGGAGACGGATAATGATTTGTCTTCAGCATGCAAACCTGGAACTCGTGTTTTTTTGCGACGATTCGAGGGCATTCGACGACTGATGCGCCCATGCATGTGTTGAATTGTTAATATAGTCAGCAAACGGATTTTCAAAAGTCTGCTGAAAAGCTGTTCTGTTTTTTTTTTCGTTGGAAGAGTTGTGAGTGCAAAAAAGGTATACTGTATAACGAAAATTTGAACGAATGAAGAAATTATTCATACGGGATGTTGAAAGTTTTTGTTTCTTTCCCCGCGTCGACATTATTGACGCAAAAGCAGAACTCCATCACATGCTGATGCATTCATGGAGTGAAACGCTGATATCGAGAAGAGACTCACATGTTCGTAGCATCATACTGTAGTTCCAATTTTGTCTCCAAGTCTTTAGCTACCGCAAATGAAGACCTCTTGCGATGAATAAGAGAATCAGCCCGGATTGGAGGATCTCGTCACCACATGCGGCAACCAGGCTTAATCGAAAGATTTCAGCAGATTCCGCTAAGTCTCACTCTTGGTTACTCAAGCAGTTCTTTCATCGCCATTTCTTTTGGAGCAGCTCAAGATCAATGCATCTACATATAATTACTGTACTGCGCAAGAGAAAAACGAACTAATTACTTTATGACAGGATGCTGCTATTCCATGAACCGAACAAACGTAACCAATAACTTTAAATCGTATTTACAATGAGTAAAAAAATTGGAGAGGTTAAAGTTTGCGTCTTTATTTTCATTTCGCCGATTGGAAACTTGACTGCGATCCATCCAACCCACACAAATTTCAGCACTGACAAAGTAAGTAAGAAATTCGGATTTTCCGGAAGAAATCTACACTGGAAAGTCTTGGCCCACAAAATCTAGAATTAATAAATGAGATGATCATGAAAATACGTATCATATTCAAAATAGTATCCACAACAAAAAAGAATCACATGAAATTATAACATGCAAAGCATAATAGTGATTTTTTTCCAGAGTACCTGGAAAATTGCTGACAAAGGTCAAAAAATGGTCAATTTTTCTTTTCCCTTCCTACCCTGCTGCTCACGCTCTATATTTCTTTGGCGGGAACGAAGAGCAGAAAGCTCTTTTTGAGAGTCCGATATTTTACTGGCTATCGCGGTTTTGGCAGCACCCTGATGCCTATTCAACCCTTCCGTCAGCTTGCTCAGATTCCGTTCTTCTTTGGAGATCTCATCAGCGACACGAAGACTTTCCACATTCAGGCTTTGATTCGACTTATTCTTCAAATCCATTATCTCCCGTTTCTTCGACGGACGCGAAGTTTCACCTAATGGATATGTATAGCAGTCGTTCTCGGTTAGGTTTAACACTCCAAAAAATTAAATTGAAAATGAATACAAATATACTAACCTGGTCCAGAATGCGAGTTCTGTAGATTATTCAGAACATTGAAAACGTCGTGCTTAGCAGCGTTTTCCTTTCGGCGACTTTCCCGTTCCGAAGCCCTTTGTGCTCGTTTCAGCATTTTCGACATTCGTTTGTCTGATCTGAAATATTCCTTGTCACCCATTTTCGCCGCAAGCTCCATACAATGATCTGAAATTTAGAAATTTCGATACGGACCAGCAAACTAGAATATGAAACATTCATGACCCACCAAGCGACTTGCCCGTCGGATAAATGTAAGCAGCAATTGGTTCCACTCGTCCCTCACCTCTTCGCCCGAGCCCCTGTCCCGTGATGTATCCCATTTTTGACATCAACTTAGATCCGATACCCTGACAAAGAGTTTAATTCGATTAAATAATAATAATATGGTAATCTGTCAAAAGAATAAGATCATCAGTGAGAGAAGAAATCCTACAACATGGTTCAAAGCTCGTCAGGAACATGAGATAGCAACATAAATCAAGAGGGGCTCCTCAAAAGTTCTATAAACCATCAATGAAGGCAGACAATTTTTCCTCTCATGTTTCGATTATGATGAAGTAATTACAAAATAGATATCGAAATCCTACCCAGATGAACATTAGGAATAAGCAAAATTGTGAATAATCCAAATCATTCTCCCCGACATACAATTCTTTCCTATACTCATGTTACAACGAAAATGTACCTTCGTGTATTTCTCCCATTCCCCCAAACGAGATGTTCCCAGTAAAGAATGATTCCAGATGTAAGTTGCCTCGAGCTCTTCGGGACGAGACTCGCGATAAGCTTCAACTTCCGATTCTCGATAGTCAGAATCTTCAGAATTCAGATCACTGTCGTCAGCTTCTGTAATGCGTAAATTCAGGATTTGTTCTAATATATTCGAAGAAGTTTCCATTTTATTTAATGCATCACGAGCCTTCACTCAACGGATGCAATTCGTTGATGCTAACTGAAGCAACTTTTCCGGAATGCGTGAATTTCACAGCACAATTGCTGAATTCCCCATCGTCTGTTTCGTCCACGTGTTCAACAATGCACCTGTGCCACAACCCGTCATCCGTCTTGGCCAAACACGCAGAGCCTTTTGTTATGGACGCAAAATCTGGATTGCTGAGCAGAATTTTCGAAAATTAATCTGATCAATTCATACATTGATGAACGCGATGCTTACTGATACTCTCCCAACTCCGAAAATGAAACAACATGTCCATGCGAATGCTTGCAAGCCTTCTCATCAAACTTGCAACGGCCTTCCAGGAAGAATTCACATGGCTTCATTTTCGCTGTTGTCGGTTGGAGAAAAAGAACTCTAACCTATGGAACAACAAGGTAGCGTTGAATCTACGAGGCAACTTATGGATTTACATCGTGCTAATTCAACAGCGGGCAGAAATCACCTGTAAGTCATTGAGGTCTCCAGAATCCGTCGGTTCCACGTCAGTTACGACGGCATTTTGAAAAACCTTGTGTCCGTACGTTGTAGCAAACGGAGCTGACACTTTCGATCCGGTCAGATTTAATATAACGTCATTCAACTGCTGACTGACTGAAGAAGAGCTTGGATCCACGATCTTCACACAGAAAATGAATGAAGACCAAACCTTACACTAAAAATGTACATATACACTATCACCGGAATTTCACTAGACGTTGAGTCGGTGAGCGATAACAGCGACAGAAGTTGCTCCTTCAAGCTCAACAATTCATTCCGCTGTTCTCCAGAAGTGGCGGCAATGCCTTGATCCAGTTGCAAAATCTAGCCAAGAAAGTCTTTCGATGAAAAGAGAGCCCACAATTAGAATGATGAGTCCACAAACCTGTGCCCGAATTTCATTTTCATCCATTTTCGCCGAAAGCACCAGTCGTTTCCCTGCGAAGAGTCAGGAGCAACTAAGTAGGAAAGGAATGAGGAACCCCGACAAAAAGCCGCCAAAAAATATTTCATGAAACCGATTTCTGCATTCAAAATTTTCATTTCTCGTCAGATACACGCACAGCAAAAGATCAAAAACCGAAAACAATCACAGCGGCATGTATCTGTAAGGAAATAAAAATTCAACAATATGCATCGAATTGCGCGACCTTTCTCACCGTGTATTTACCAATTTCAAATCGGCGAGAAGAGTAACATACGTCAATCACTACGCGGTGAGGTTCGCAAAAAGGTTCAGTGTAGAAATGACAGACAGGAAGAGAAAAAACCGAAATGCAAATCACGCAAAGAGGATACAACCTCCGCCAAAAACTAAAGAATTTGCGAATAATTCCCGACTCTTCCAACATCAACACACAGGATTTTTACGACTATTCGAAATTGTGAGACACGCATTCCCGGATGAAATCATTGTAGTTGTAATCGCCCAATTCATCGCACATTTCTGGAAAGATAATTTTAAGAAGCTTTAGCGAATTTCTATAAAACACTGATCAATATCAAGCAACACTCACCAACGACATCGACCAGTTCGCCGAAAGATTCACAAGGTAAAATGTCTTCTTGATAGTGCTTTAGAAGCTTTTCCGAGGCGTCCGCCAAAGCCTGGTCGTTGTGTCGAATATAATCGGCCAAAGCCTGGGACCATGTCTGCGGACTCGACTCAGCGTTGTAAGATAATCCCTGAGAAAATCCAACGCAATTTGAAGATGTCAACAGAGTCAAAATTAAAGAAGAAAATGCTTTTGAAACATTGGTAAGCTAAAGCTTCTGAGTGTTCGCTTGAAAGTAATTACATTTTGAGATTAAGATCCCGAGAAGTAGCTAACCTTGAACATTTCGCTGTATAAGCCATCAACCAGCGCAAAAAACACCATATATGGCTTCATTGTGGCATAATCTAAAGCAGGGGATTCTGATCCAGGAGTTGCATTTTCAGATGGTCCCTGAGCAGGCTTGACGAGCCGTGCATTCGCCATCACGATGAATCTTTTGAAAAATTCAATTCGCCTCCCAACCCACAAGCTTTTCGGCCACACAAGAAATGCCATCACCGAGTAGTAAAGCACGTTCTCAAGCTCAAAAGCATTCTTCTCCCAGCGCGTAGGACTGTGCTCCAAAAACGTCGAAATATTCTTCTCTTCCCTCGGAACACAACGCGTTCTGCTTCCATGAACAAATTCATCAGTGACAAAGGCAACAATCAAGATCAAAATGTCATTGTCTCACGCACGTATTCAAGACGTAAAGCGCCATGTGAATGAGGTATGGCACGAAATGCATATTAGACGCTGGCCCACCACCACCGCTGTCTTCACTGAAGGATCTTTCGAATGCGAACCTCGAAAGCAGCAGCTTCAAGTCGTGCACCGTCAAGGAATAGCTAATATCCCTGTAAATTTTAATCACGTTGATGACTTCAAAACTCAACACAATGACGCCGAATGCCAACATTATGTCTAATTTTTCTTCATATTCAATGAAGGACTCGACAAATCCTCGGCACGAAGAAATTCCTGTTATATCAATCTATATTCGTGGTCACATCCTAAATAAACTCATGAAAACAAATCAAACAAAATTCATATTTACCTCTGTCCCGTGCAATCTTGCAGGTAAGCATTATGCCTCGCAAGTGCAGCTGCGAACGCCGACTCTGGTACGGATGGTCCCCACAGCGGCAACAACCCGTTGCACTTCGTGTTGGCGTTCTGCAAACTCGCACTTTCCCACTCGTCACGCGACCGCGTCGTTCGCACGGCTGCCATGTGACAGTCGACGTGTACAATGTTGAAGTGAGTGACAGTGGAATACGCAGGAGTGGCTCGCAACTTCATCTCGTATTCCTCCGCATTGCACTTCTTCGTGAAAGTGTAAACACCAAGAACTTTCAGCGGCTGGAACTTGTAGCCTTCGCGGCAGATTACGCATACGAGTCCAGTCTCTTCGGCTATTTCACCCATTTGCTCGAGCAGAGAGCTTTTTGCCCTTACCTGAAATGTTCAAGATGCAAGAGCTACAATGTTGCTAAAAAATTCCGAAAAGCAAAAGACATCTTAAAAAATCAAACAACACTGCATAATGGAAAAAATAATCGCAAAAAGCCCCGAAAAAAACTCAACGATAATACGACTGAAATTCACCTGTCCTTTTTCGTCAGCCTTCATTCCCAGCTGCACCAACTGTTTATTCCTCATTGCCATGGCTAGTCTCTTTCGCTCGGCTTTAGTTTGTTTACGAGCTCCCTCAACTTCTGACTTCAGCGACGGATTCAGCCGCAGCACTTCCAAAAGATTTTCTGCCAATGAACCTACACGTTCTTCAGAAGAAACCTGTTCGAGCTTGTGCAAAATGCCAATGCTGTCACGACCGATTGCCATCTGACCGAAATTGAATAAAAAAAAGCATTCGCGAACATTTAGCAATACTGTTCAGAAGTGAACAAGAAACCACATCTTTCACCTGAGTTGATGGATGACCGTTTGCCAAACCCGTAAGAATACGGATAACGTACTTCAATGATGGTCGAGATAAGAAAGTTCGCCAGTCAGCTTTTGCCGTTGAAACAACCGTGGTGTCAGCCTTCGGGGAATGTTGCTAGTTTTCGAAGTTCATGAAAAATGTAAAATGAGTCCCAAAAAATAAAATACTTGAATATTACCTGGAAGTAATTTATGGCGGCGCTGACGAGATTTGCCGACACAAAGTGATCTTTCAATTGATTTCCGACAGCGTTCCGCTCTATGCCATTCACCAGAACGCAGAACAACTCCAACTGTCGAAAAAATTCATCAGAATAAAATTCTCATCAGCCAGTCAAGGCAATAATTTCGAAAAACGAACTAACCCTGTTCACGTCTTCAGCGCTATGTTCATCGTCAAAATTATCAAAATTAAACAGGCGCCTGAAGTGTTCTGTCAAAACGGTCATCTTTTCAGTTGTTCCACACGAGAGCAGCGGTAAAACGCGCATTAATCTTTGCAGAATGGAACTTGAAACACCGGGGCTGTCAGCCCAGTTCAGCAGGAACGTGACATCATCTGGCGTGCCGCACGAAACTTCATTGAATTCAGCATACTCTCCAAGTCCTTTCTTCGACGCCTCCGATAAAATCACTTCCATTATCTGCAACACGAACCGAACATCAACGAAATAGATCAGTCAAAAGAAAGGTAAACAGTCGTGGAACATTTGAAATGAAAGATGGCAGAATTTCTCACCTCAAGCAGCTCTTCAACAAGGGTGGGTTGCCCTGGTGCTCTGACCAACAATTCCTGGTCTGTAGCGCTTAGACAAATTTTCAACGTATTCAACATCGTGGTTATGGCACCCATGTTCTTCTCTGTCAGCCTTTCACGGTTGATGGCAGTTTTCACGGCAAATCCGAGCAATCGCAGCAACACCGCCAGCAACGGGCGGCCACGCGATAAATCATGCACAGCGCCGAGACGCTCAAGGCAAACCTCAAGGCCGCCATTGGTCGCCAACACGGACGCCATTCTGTAAACCTGCTCGTTATCAACCTCCTGGTCATCCTTATCTTCAAGGCGCTCGATCATGTCCTCTGTGGCGTCTCCGAGAAGCCCTCGCATCCGGTAAACAACTCGCATTGGGTCCACGGAATCTGAATTTTCTTGGAGCCAAACTTTGCGATAAACCTCTTTCACGGGCAAATCCAGGGAAATGATTTTGTTGCAAACGAGCAGTTCCATTCCAGTATCATCTTCCAACAGCGCCACGAGCTCGCAGTCCGTACAAATCTTGTTCTTCACATCTCGCATGAGAGGACCCAAACCTGGTTCTTGGCTGCTGTAGGGGTTTCCAAGCATTCGCCCTTGCAGGAAGTCTTCCTGTTGTTGATCTTTGTCCAGCATCAAAAAGAATTCCCCAACATCGTTCTCCTCGGGGTAAATTATGGAGCACAAGCGTTCAAAAATGAAAACCGGGGTGCGCAAATCCTCCAGACTGTACATGCGAACAGTTTGCACGCAGACGCCCATGAAAGCCTTGGTTTCATCTTCTGTGCCCGTCGTAATCACTTCGAGTAACTGAAGGAGCCGATCTTGAGTGTCATCGATCAGTTTCGTACGCTGAACAACGAACTTTCGCAACGCCAAATAACCGTGGAGAACAGTTGCAACGAGACAAGATTTATACTTCGCTTTGATCGCTTCTTTCTCCACAAAAAGGCACAACAGCTCCGTGAGGGATTTGAGAGCAAACCCCTGTAAAATAATGAACAAAATGCTGAATGAATTAAATGCTGTCCTCGAAAACATTCTGAAGACAAGTATTGAAAAAATGCAGACAAAAAAAATCAAACATGTTGTAAAATACCTGAGACAGATCAGTTGACAGAACAGTTTCCTCCAATCTCATGAGGTGATTGATTTCCTTGCGAATTAAGTTGCCTATTGTTGGAAGAATGCCTCTCAATGCCAAGTAAAATCGCCAAGTGCCGCACTTGACCATCGTCTGGTATAAGTTGATAAAATCTTGGGCACTTTCACCAGATGAACCGACCAACGGCAAAAATCCCGTCATCACGTTCATCAACTGAAGAAACAAAAAATTATAAAATACACCGCAGTCTAGAATTCTCCGTCGCATTAACCTCTCGTCGACGACAGTATGAGTCTCCAATTAAATCAGCAGTTTGCCAAAGCATTTCAACCAGCATTGCACACGCACTTCGGGCAGAAGCAGAGGTGGGATTGAAAAGAACAGACTTCAACCAGCCTTGGTCCAACTTCAATTCCAAACGTGACGAGGGTTTGATGGTTTTCTTGAGCCAACGGCGTCCAAACTTCTCCATCAAATACATTGCTCGAACATCGGCCTACAAGAAAAAAAAAACCATTGCAGCTTCAATTAAGCGATTAAAGATGCGAAATCTTCACCTTCGTAGACTTCGACACCCCTTCGTTACCAGCAGCAATGCTTTTGCTACTCGGAAATACTGCGTTTTGCACGTTTTTACAAAAGCGCATGAACGGGCTTCGCGTTACATCAATATTGTCACGCAAAACGTCACCGATGTTGAGTATCATCTCACCACCATGTCCAGACGATTGACCCTGCTGGCAATACATGAATTCAGAATACATGGGTCGTTGTATGTACTGTATTCCTGAACTCACCATCGAATTTCTGGATATCACAGGAAGACGGCAGAGGCCTGTCAACATACGCAAGCACGGTTGCAACAAACTGTCCAGGACAATCGGCGAGTCGTAATTTTGGGTTCCCAGCATCACCAGCTTCATCAAACACCTGGTAATTTTAATACAACGCTGAAAAGGCACGAATCGACAAGGAGAAAACAGAATACTCACTGAACACGCAGTTGAAAGCAAATTGCCCCGTCTTTGGCTTGCAACAAGGAGGACAACAAAGCTATTTCGTGTCGTATGGGTGAACCAGCTAGAGCAGTTGAATACGACAAATGCGGATTAGCAAGCGCACGAGTGACCCTATCTAGTATCAGATTGTTGAGTCGCTTAGTGCCTTCAATGCTATCGACGCTCAACAGCCGTAGCAATTTGCACACAGCGTGCCGGAACTGTGAAATGAATAAAAAATAAAATAAATAGAGTTGGATTCCTATTCAACAATATTCAACCGGACAGATTTTCATAAAAATTAATTTTTGACCAGAAATTGATAATTGCTGATCTCAGCTCAAAGTATCGCTGCATGAAAATTGCAGTTAAATTCACTATGACCCTGTTTTCTGTAATCTTGCACATGTGCGCAGGAATAAAAAACATTGTCGAACATTAATGAAGAGCCCCCAACTAAGATTCCCTGAACTGATTTAACCTCAGCTATTCCAATTAAACGCGTAACACAATTCCAGACAAAATGTACCCGAAAACCATTACGAAATTCGGCGTTGAAAGTGAACAGAGAAACTGATGAAAAGCAGAAACGGTAAAATCGGCAGACCGAACACGAACGAACCTTAGCAGAGCCACGTTTTAAATTGGCGTCAAGAAGCTCGCGAAGGAGGCCACAACGACACAATTCGTCCCGCAAATCCGCGTCAGTTGCGAGGACTTGCAACAGTTTAACACAGTATTCCGTAGCAGCACATGCACACCCATAGCAACGGGCAGATCGCAATTCAATCCCGGCTTCTGCAACTTCACCTCCCAATGCATCGATAGCTCCGTCTTTGTAATAGCCCAACATGGACTCTGACGGACGCCGATGCCCAGCGGCGACATCTCCGTTGTTTTGTTGTCGGTCGTAAGCAACTAGCTCTCGACGAGAGGCTATCACTTTCTAAAGAAGAGTAACAATGGTGATTTCAGGCCCATTAAAAACTTGATCGTCTCTGAAATCGCTGAAAACGTTCTCAACATGCCAATTCAAAATCGAGCTCAGCCACTTGGAATTAAAAGAAAAATAAACTTACTTGAATCACCAAGCTCAGCTCATCAAATGCGGCACGGCAATCGCCGGAATACTTCTGACCCAATTGGTTGATAATGGAGTTGGCATAAGACTGACTAGAACTCGCAGTAGCAGGAGTGGTAGAAGCACCTGAGGAAGCCGCACCGCCTCCAGAAGCTGAACTAGGGGCGAAGTTGAATCCTGCCGGGGTGGCGACCGAAGTTTCTCCAATGTCCGTTCCTTGGTCCAGAACTTTGCAAACCAAGTTCTAATACAAAAATAAAATTGATATCATGCAACATGAAGGATGCAATTTTTCGTAGCAATTCTACAAGGATGACACACGCGAATCTATTACAAACCTCCAGATATGGTTTGTACGAAACCAACACTTGATATATTTTATCCGCACGTTCCAAAAGCTGGTTGATGTTCTGAACAGCTTTCTTCCTGTCCTCTTCAGTTTCGATTGGATCAACAGCGCAGCAAGGACGGGCAGACAAATTATACTCAAACTTGGCATACTTGCAAAATCCGCATGCGTTGCACAGAAATGGATCCTTCTCATCATAATTGATTGATCTAGAGAGCGTTTTAAAAATAAGATTAGAGGCCCTACTAGACGAAATAATTAAAATCCCCGTACCTGCACTTGTGGCACTGGAACACATTTTCGCCGCAGTTGCTGCAGACTCCCGGATTTGCAGGGACACTCGCACTACAACGAGGACACTGCAAAGTTTCAGTGGACGCTTGCGGGTTTTCAATGAAATCAGCATATTCAATCATCAGGTTGCACGCAACAATGGGCAACGGGAATTCAATTTTGACTTCTTGCTGATTTGGTTGCAGAACGACGCGCTTGGCTTTATGCCACATAGCTGAAACAAAACGGGCTCTGACGGTACTTTCGACGAAATTCACTTAACAAGATAGAACAAACCTGGCTTGTTCTTCAGCTCAATCACAGCTTGCACAGTCCTGTTATTATAGTAAACGTTGATCATGCGAACCATTTTTGTTCGCTTGATGTCCGTTATCTTCACAGTGATTTTTGAAATGGTGTGGCTATTGACCAATTTCACTATTTGAGTCGTTGTCGTAAATCTCGAATCCACCTACAAAGAATGGATTTAGCAAAGCAAAGCAACATCAACACAAATATTCCCTCACCTTGATCGATGTCAATTTGATATTCTGGAATGGCACTTCGGGATTGTTGCACACCAAACAGGGTTCCGATTCGAGATAGTAACCGTCGCATTCGAGCAGCGATCCCAAGGTCGAATACAACAATGCATTTGGATGTCGATTCAGCACTTGATTTTGTCCCCGAAGAACTTGAACCGTTTTCCACGCGACTTCTCTTGCCTAGCAATAAAAAAATAAAAATCAAAAAACGCAAAATAAAAAAACGCAACGAATTGATTCAATTTCTGATTTACCGGCATGGGGCCCAAATTCATTTTGATGGACAAGTATCCAATCAAATCGACGAACTGCAAAGCTTTCCGCCCATAGAAGGGAACTCGGGACCACAAACTCCAGAGGATGTTAAGAATTGCTTGACGTCTCTCAGATCCAACGCTCCTACAGCACATATTAAGTTTACAACAGAAGAACTGAAGGCATCGCAGAGTAAAATCTTACTTGTAGAGGTACAAGAATAAACTGTGCGCCTGCCATCGGACGACTGCTTGGTTACTCTCCAGCAAAAACATGCGAGCGAGCTTTGCCAGAAGAGGGGCAGGAATTCGATCCATTAAGCTATTTGCCAATCGCTGCCCAACGGGATCAACTTTTGAAAAATCATCAGCAGATGACACTACTATAGCCGGCGTTGTTTCCGGTTTCGGTGCAGGCTTCGAATCCTTCTTCGTTGTTGCTCCTCTCACAATAGCGGCATATGTAGGAGGAACAGCGTTAGCTCCTTCATTGGTCGCCGTTGCGGCAACAAACTATACAAACACAAAATAACATAAGAGAAAGTTCACAGGAAAAAAGCGTAAAAAGCGTTTTCACCTCCGATACAACTTTGGGTCCTCCAAGGCCGCATTGCAAAAGCTGCAAAATTATAGGCGCCACGCCCTCATCCAACGACAGACTGGCTTTCAAGAGCAAAGGAAGATACTTCGGATTGTTCTCGCAGCAGTGTTGCCAATTTGACGTGCGGCTCATAGCAGTGTCGGTGCAATCCTTCAAATTTTCGATCAGTTCGATCAAGTTGTCGTATCCAAGATTGGCGGAGGCAGGTGAATCCGCTTCAAAATCCAGTCCACCAGACATGCAGATTTTCTCAACTTTCTGTGAAGATGACATCAGAGATGAATATTAGTTTTTATCAAAAAATTCGCATTTTTACCATGAGAATAATTTAAAATTATTCTGGAGTTCTCAATGAAAGAAAAAGTCAACGACGTACCTCCATACGCATTTGGATCGAATGGTAATCCCGAAGTTGCCGGTATTTGTCCTTCTGTCCACAAAACGACATGAGAAGCTTTCTGAACTGTCGCTTGACGAAGTGGGCTTGTTTTGTCACCATATATTCACACGGCAGATAAAACCACTCTGGCTTAAGCTCAACCCTACTATCTGTTGGTCCACCAGACGCTGCCAATGACGTCATGATTTTCTTCATTTGATGCGGCAACCTGACCGCCATTTCGGTCAGCAGCTGCGGCAATTCTTCGAACACATCATGCGAGTGCTCCTTCACATACATCTTCAAGAAGAACGGGTTCATGTCCGGCACGGCATTGGCAAAAGGCCGGCATTTAAGCAAAATGCTTCCCAGAGCTGGCGCAACGTTCGAATTCGACTCGTCAGGGATGGGTTGATGTTTCCAGTATTTAAGCAACAGTGTGCGCAGAAGATCCAAACAGTGCTCTAAAATGCCACTTTTCAACAGCGCAGCAGCAGTGATATAGGAAACTCCAGACGGTACATCAACATGACCAGTTTTGCCCTGCGACGTCTTGGATTTTGACATGACGACATCTGAAATTGTAATGACAAATTTTGATCACAGGAAATTATCGAAAAATTAAAAAAGGCTGCTAGTGACTCACTGATAAGTCTCATTATGAGAAGCTCAACCTCATGTTGGCTGGTTTTCTCCAGGTAAGCTTCATAATTTTTATTCCCAATATTCAGCTCTTCAATGAGTGCAGACAACACTGCGTCCAAAACCTGACGATCCATGGGCTTCCGAACTGGATGGTCAGGGTCCAAATCCGAAATCAGCATCAGTAAAATCTGGCGAAGAGACAAAAATAGATTATTAAATTCTAGTCGGGCAAAAAGAAAGAAGAACACAAGCCGGACTTTTTTTTATATTTAACGCGGAAGCAATGATTTCTTACCTGCAGAAAAGGAACCGATCGAACTCCGCCAATTGCCTTCATTTCCTTGATGTGTGGCACAAATTGACGAAGCAGGGACACTCTCAGCTTGTGCATCGCATCTTTCGCATTGTCGCCGCCTTTGCCAGGACCACCACCTCCACCGGAACAACGATCCGGATCATCATCACCATCTGGATCAGGTGGATCCCCACCTTGTGCTTCGGTCTCAGCTACTGAATCACGTGTCCCAACAGCGAAAACAATTGTTCTTGTCGGGACCATTGTTTGACCGGCTGCAGCGGCCTGATGAGCTTCCCTGCCTTCCGCAAGCAGGCCTTCTAGAATTGCTGCTTCCTGGACCGACGGGAACTGCGACTGCAAAAATTAAAAGTCGCAATCTCTAACAGTAACGCATCATCGCGCGAAAAGCTGAACACATCGAACATGAAAATTTACGCACACAATGCTCTCCTTCCTCGTCATCTGATGCCCCTGGAGATGCAGTGGTATCCGAATAGTGCGACGAGGATGCCATGAGCCCCGACGGGTTCGATGGTTGATTTTCGCCAAGGTTTCCTGCATCAGACATTTGAACATCTCTTCCACGATATTCTCTCAAATATCGATATCCAGGAGACCGGCATGCAGGGTTGTCTAACGTAAAACTCATGCACTACATTCCATGATCCGATAAATAAGGAACGCTCGAAAACTCGCTTCTTCCAAAATTTCCCTTTCCGAACATGCGCATAACCAGAATTATTCCCGAATAAAATTAGTAAAACCTCCGAAACTCTGATGTCTAGAGAAGGAATAATTTGTCTACACTTCTTCGTAAAAGAAATACAAAATGCAAATAATGAACCTTCACCGAAACTTTTGCGCCGTACTTCAAAGTTTAAATATAAATTATCATTTATTTTAATCATGCATTATTTTATCTCTGAATTATATTTTATTTTATTTCTAAATTATACTTTATTTCATTTATCAATTATATTCATTTTATTTATAAATTACATTTTATTTATAAATTATACTGTATTTTATTTTATATATACAGTAAATTATATTACATTTTATTTATAAATTATATTTTATTTTACTTATAAATTATATTTTATTTTACTTATAAATTATATTTTATTTTATTTATAAATTATATTTTATTTTCCATATAAATTATATTTTACTTTATTTATAAGTTTTATTTTATTTTATTCATAAATTATATTTTATTTATAATCTTTGAATTTATAACTTACTTCATTTATAAACTTTTACAATGAATAATTCTGAAAGTGACATTAAAATCGATGAAAGATTTTCGCGCAATAGTATCCAGCGCATAAATACAGAACTTTCGGAAAAATTCGAGAATTCAATAACATCGTATCTTTTCACCCATGAATTAAACAAATTTCAGTCACCAAATGAATAGTCTTCATACATAGCACCACCGTTGATTAAAAGATTATCAACACGTGCGGGTAAGTCCTGAAAAATGCATACCTTGTCCTGAAACCACGGACGCGGCTGGATTACATGCACCTCTACGAGGAAACTTGATGGTGGCAGACGGACGGTCGATTGCTTCAGCGACGGCCGCAGAGATGGCGGCCATTTCTTCGTCTTCTTCCACATCATCATCATCGTCGTCGTCATCGTCATCATCTTCTTCGTCGTCATCATCCTCTTCTTCGTCATCGTCTTCATCATCATCATCGTCATCATCGGTATCAGGAACCACTACTTCATCGTTCTGAGCCAGATTCATCAGTTCCTGATGAAATGGATGACAGTACCACACACAATAAAATTCACATGGATCACTCATACTTTAATGATAATCGCAGCAAATTCTTCAAATTGCTGCGCTATTTGAGCTGACTCACCCGCAACGGCGCATTAGATGACGATCGCGCCTCGGCAGCCGCTACGCCAATGGCTCCAACAGCTCGTTCCAGTTCTCCGGTAACTCTACGCAGCAGAGCACCACGTCCACGACCGGAAGGAGGAAGCTGGCGACTGGTGCTGGTAACAGCAGTGTTTGATTCGCTGCCCGCCGCGCTGGTGTTCGATCGTCTTTGAGCAGAAGCAGTACCGTCTTCTCCCTCCGTAGAACCTTGCTCTTGCAAACTCAGGGCTATCGCAAGATCAACCATGGCTTCATCATCATCAGCAGGTAAATCAAGGATCGATCCCAGCAAGGTACTATTGTTCAGCACAGCTTCCAAATTAGCTATAAAAATGGAATAGTATGCATAATATAGTATCGCATGGATTTCTCTAAAACTAATTGATAATTTCAAGGCAACGCAATTGCAAAAAAAAAAAAAAAAAAAAAAAAAAAAAAAAAAAAAAAAACAACAAAAAAAAAAAAAAAAAAAAAAAAAAAAAAAAAACCAGAACGGCAACACAAAGAAGGCTGACCTCCTTCAGCGGCAAGCAATGCCATCGGTTCCATGTTGTGGACTTGGGCGAAATGAACCTCCGCGTTGTCCAAAGCTTCTTGATCCAAGGGAGACGATGATCTAACATTTCTCGCTCTCATATTATACCCACTGTTTGTCAGATTCCTCAGAGCAACTACAGGCCCTCCAGCAGCGCCACGCAAGAACATTTCCAACATTCTGCGCCGATCCGTCCTCTCCCTACCACCGGCAGCAGAAGAAGCAGGGGTTCCATTTGATGGAACGTTTGAAGCGTTTCCTCGAGCTTCCTCGTCACCCTCAGGCGCTGGCGGCGGTGGAGGTGGAGGCGGTGCAGGCGGCGGCGCCGTAGACGCAGGATGATTCGACGACGTGCTTTTCGTTTTCGGCCGTTTTGGATGCGTGCGAAGAAGCTTCATCAAAGTCGATTTCGTCGCAAAACTTATTTGAGTGTCCGTGTTCAGCAGCAAATAGGCATAAATGCGAGAAGCTTGAGGCACGATGGTTTCTGGGCCTTGACAGGCCAACGCATGCACAGTAATCACGAGTCCTTGGACGATGGACTCCAGATTGGATAAATCTTTACGAAACAAACAGAATCACCAAGGGCTTTCTCGTCGTGTGTAGTTAAAAATACCTGGTTTTGTGAGGGGCGCACAATGTGGATTCGCGGGTCTCGATTTCATCACCATGCAAAACGAATCCAGCAACTTCTGCAGCAAAGGGTTCTCCACGACAGGAACGGATGAGTCCGGCCGTACCTCATCTTTAAAGCTGATGATCAATTCTTTGGAAAGCTCACTGGCGGCATCAGAACCAGCCACTTCTCGAGCAGCATCCTTTTGAGGAACCGCCGAGCCAGCAATGGTCGCTGGGCCATCCTCGTCTTCGTCATCGAAGTGCATCGTAACTAACTGCTGTTCTTCATCTAAGGAAAGATTCGAATTGTTCAGAGGTTCAGTAAATCTACAAAAAATTGGGCACTCACTTCCAGATCCCAATATGCCATCCGGTGCTACTGACCCAGTTTTGCGATCAGATTCGGTTAACGAGAGCAAATTTTGCGGCCTTGATTGTGCAATCGAACGAACGATATTCAACAATGAGAAGAAACCATCCTTGTCAATTTCTTCGGAGTAATTAGGCGACAGCTGGTTCTGCACGTGACGCAGCAAGATTTCATCCTGATAAAAACAACGCACGTTTACATTCAGCATTCGTGCAAATCCAATATTCCAATACAAATTGAATGAGAATTCAGTCGTGCCTGTTCGAAATATCGTGATCGAAACTCCACTCCAGTTTAAAATACTGTACTTGAATTGTACATACATGGAACATGAAGAAACCGGCTCGATTCCAATGCAAGGACGCCATCAAACGACGATTCAGCTGCTGCACGGGGCCAGATAATGGGTATCGCAGCAGATACGAGCACGACACCAGCGCATCTGACAAGAACTCCGATGATACTTTGTCACTGTTCACAGATGATAATGTCACGCAACATTCGATCGACTCCAGAATTGCTCCAGCGAGACGATCCATGGTCGACACGGATCCACTGTGGTAAATCGTGGATGCGGCCGAAGTCCACAAACACGTCGAACCGTCCGCCTCGAGGCCAACGCTGTCTTTACTCGCCGAGCCCGACGTTTGCAAATGACTCGCTTCCAGAGAATGCGCCGAACTTCCACTGGACGCCCCGCTTATCTGTGACATCATTTCTTCCGCGTCTTCAGGCCACCCTAACGCTTCTTTGGTTTTTCCATAAACCTGTGGAAGAAAAGACGAAATGATTAAAAATTTCAAAAATCAAATTTTGTCATCGCACAATTTACTCCACTCGCGAAATGAGATCAGACACGTCCAAACCCGGCAAGATTAAAACAGCGCGTGCTAAAACAAGGTATTACCCGTATTTACTGGAAGTACCACGCGCACCTTGATTTTCAAAATTAATTGAAAAAAGAGGGAGAGCGGTATGAGCGGGTATAAAATCATGAACAATTTTCAAAGTTTAGGTTTGCGTCATAATTGATTCTTACAGGAAATTTGTAACAAATTTCAATAGAATGGACGGGAAATGAATGCAAGTTCGTTTCAAAACTTCCAATTCAAGTCAAAACTTTCAAGTCAACATTTTAAATCGCATATATTTTCAAAACTTGCCTTTTGAAAATATATGCGAAAATATATTGAAAATATATATAAACACTAAACATGGGGTGCATCTGGGGACAAGTAAGTTTTTATCTAAATTTTAGGGCCAAAAAACTGGGTATGCGTTTTACTCGAGGGCGCGTAGCGCTCGGGTAAATATGGTAGTAGCCCTTGAACGTTTCCAAAATATCAAGAACAAAGCAACGATTAAAGAAAAAATCTTCCTTATCCAGTAATGATGCAGTACGCTTGGGCTAGGTGATTAGCCGCAAAAGTTTCAAGTACAGTACTGTACAAATGATTTACAGGATATGTGTGAATGAGTGAATAAAACTACAGTAATGTATTAAATTCAAAAATTACCAAATTAAATACGATGGTAAGCAAATTTAAATTAGGAATGGCTCAACACGTTTTGGTGTTTTAGTAGGTTTGCATAGTTAATCACATGCACTTTTCCATTTCATGCACATACACTGCTTCCGATCACGCGGTTTTGGTAAGCGCTGGATTCAGCCATGGCTCTTCCCGAACACACGCAAAAATCATTCACCTGAATAGCGTCGATAATTGTCATCCCGTTTGTTCCATCTTCGGATGACGTAAAAGTTAATGTGACCGTTTTGTCGGATAAGAGCGACTCTTCTCGAGTGAACGGAAAATCAAACCAGCGACGATTCGTGCACACCAACGAATGCGAGCGATTGAACAAGTCGACAGATGTTGGAGCCGTGAGTGGATCCTGCTGTCCGACTGAAATTCGAACGCCGGTTATGACCATAGACGGGTCCTTGTTTGTTACGGTCAATGCAAACGTTCCTTGTTTGTTAACACCAATGAACAGATCTAAAGAATCCAAAGATAAATAAAAATACAAACTCATCGATTCAACAACAAAAAATCACTCACTTAGATCAGAAAGCCTTCTCTTCAACTGCGAATACGAGTAGATGTACAGCAAGTCTTGCCCACCAAAATCACAGTCTGGGATCACTTGACAATGTTCGAAAAAGTCCGGCGCAAAATGCCGCGCCCCTACCAAATTGGATAAAAGTGGTTCAAAACAAATCTGCCAAAAAAATCTTTAAAAATGAAGTACCGGATGACTTGCCCACACTGCGCCCATATTTCTTCTTCTTCAAGCTTTTCGAAAAAATCCCAGCTTGCGGTGTAGCCGTGGTTTGCCAGATGCCTAAAATCAAAATTCAACGATGAAACAAAAAAAGCGAAAACATGGCTGTCGAACGTACTTGTCTTTTCGGCATTTGCCATGTGAATACGGATGCTACCGTCCTCAAACAAAACAACATAACCGGTTCGCGAGTCTTTTCCTGGCGTTCCATGTCGCACAGCAACCATGTCAAGAATTTTCGACTTGCACGCCGCGGGCCGAATCATCTCTTGAACAAGAATGCTTTTGGGTTGCATCATGATGACCACTGGTACGTTAGCTGGAAGCCGAAGAAAAATCAAAAGCTGCATTTGAAGGGAAGCAGAAGAAAAATCCCTGAAAATGTGAGGCAATGCTTCGAGTCAAACGGGGAGCCAGGTTTGGGAATCCCTCCTTTTCGTCTGTTTCTTTCTTTCACAGCATATTTGAGGAATAGGGGGAGGGACAAGGAAGTTAAATGCAAGATTTGTATCCGTAGGACGCGCACGATTTTCCTTCCAGAGCAAGTTTTGCAACAAGTTTATTTCTGTGTACTGTAAGTGGAATTTTTCAGGTGTTTCGGTGGCAAGAAAATAATTCGGGAATTTAAGCAATAATCGTTTGCATTGAAGAATTGTTCTGTGTGTTCAAGTCCTCTCCTGGTTATTCTGATTCGGTGGCATGAAAACCAAGAGCCCCCACTATGCCTGCCAGCGTTTGCCAAGGAGAGTAAGCAGAGGGTAAACAAAACACCATTGCTTTCCAAAAACAAATAGGTTTACACATTGATGGTGGGCATGTCAAAGGATTTAAAAAAATTACATGTACTGTAGGTAATAACGTTTCCACATATTGTACTGCGGTTGGTGTTTTTTTTTTTAACTGCGCTCGAAAATCCAACATTTTGTACTGTCAAAACTGCAATAAATTAAATGATCACTCACAAAGCTGGGTCATAGCGGAAACAAGCCCGGGGTGACCAGGCAGTTCGTCCCACTGACATAAGGGTTGCTGCTCAATCCTCGGCGGCGCAGCGCCCGTTTTGTTGTTCTGGGACGGGGCATTCGTCGACGAGCCATTGTAATAAGGAGCTATGATTTTGAACAGGGTTGTGAGTTCACTGTCCTCATCCAATTTAGTCAACGGGGCAGCAAAGCTGAGCCCTTTCGAGAAGCTGAAGAACAGCATCTGGAGAGTGTGCGAGTAGTACACACTCACGCCGCCGCCAGCAATCGTGCCAGCTTTGTCCTAAGAAAACCAAGTTAACAAAATTAGCATTCTCCCCTCAAATCATAATTGCAACACAAGCTGAGCATGACGCATCTGTTGAACAACTCACAGTCAGGTCTGGATGATTGAAATCAATTCCATCAGTCACGTAAAATGGACCATGAACGGCAGATGCTTCCTCGTCGAGTTCTTGCGTATAGATGAATCCACTCGCAGTCATCAAAAGGATGTAGCCATTCGACGGACGACTTTCCCCGTCGCTCTCGGGAAACATAAATGTACAGTCTCGTATTTTGCCGCAAGGCAACAAAATGTAGTATTCTGGACTGATGGCATCTTTAGCCAAGTCATAAATTTTCACGAAATCTGTTGTTACTATCACGAGTCGCGATTGCGACCCAGGCAGCCAGATCGTCTTGATAATGAAGTTCCCGGTTTCCAACTGTAGCTGAAGCACGACTGTTTCATAGTCATTGCCTCCATTGCCATTGAACGTCAAGACGTAACAGTCCTGAAAACGACAGAAATTTCACAGGACTAAACCTCAACATGATAAAGCTGGTTACCAACCTTCAGTCCAGATACTGCCAGGACGTCTTCATTGCAGGGATTAGCGGTAACTGACAAAATCGTGAAGGGCACCGTGGCCGAGGTAACTCTGGTCAGCGTAAGCTTCTTGGCTGAACTATCCGCTTGTTTCAATACTTGGTTCAACAGCATTACCGATAGCTTACCCTTGTCGTGTGTCACAACTACAAAGAAACGGAAACACAATCAAATAAGTAGATCAACTAATATCACCCGCGCATAAATACCGAGACTTTGCCGACGACCAGTTCCTCGCATACAGGTCATAGCCACTCTTCGCAGAACATGTGCATTCAGCAACTGTCTCATCGTCTGGCCTTGATCTCCCGAGTAGTTGATCCGGATATTCTCGAAAGCATTGTCTTGTGAGCCATACGTTGGTACCTGTAAAAAAGAATTTGAAAGCTTGAGCGGATAAAATAATAAAATATATAACAAGCATAATCACCGTCAAATTGTCGCACATCTCGCAGGTTTTTGGAGCAGTGTGTAGATCGACCATCATGGCTCTCAGTCGTGCAGTTGAACCAAGCGCTTCATTTCGAGAACAATGAGCAACTACAGCGTTCTTCGATGCTTTTAGCAGTTCGAGAACGTTATTCGTTAAACCAGTTTCTCGGGCAACATTCCAAAGAGCAACCTTGTGTTTTTCTGGAATGACACGCAATCACATAGATTCAAGAAACAAGAGAAGTTCGAAGAAAAAAAAATCTTGAAATCGGGATCAATAAAATACCCCGGGGAATTACCCATTGCATTGAACAACTTTTCTCATTTCGAATCAATGAAATTTAGGAAATTAAGATTGCTTCGAAAGCTTTTCAACCAACCTAGCTGATTTGCCAAAGAAGAGCGGAATGCTTTCCTAGCATCCTCGAAACAACGTTTGTGGCTTTTCTCCCGGTGCGGGGACGTGATTCGTCGACTTCTTGGCGCAGCCTGGATCGACGTGTCCACGTTTTCATCTGACCCAGCCTTGTCTTCTTTGTCAATTGCACTCGCCGCTTGGAGACTTCGCTTTTGCAAAGCTTCGCACGAGCCATCTTCCTTCGCACCGCAGTCGCAGAAAAAATTTCCAAACTTTGAGTACGTTACATCATGACCCCGGTGACAAACTCTGGCGCAAACTGAACAAACTCCGACACGGTCAACCATTCCGCACGTATGGCAATGGTACCAATGCTGATTATCGTATTGCTTCCCGGTTCTTACGTATGTGCATTGCTTCAAAGTCATGGATTCGTCGTCCTGTGAAGAGAGAAATGTGACAATCAACAATGGTTCGCATAGAAAAAAACGTCGATACTCATCAGTTTCAATCGAGAAGAAATAGTTCTTAATTTCAAACGGATGTGTGCGTTTTGTGAAGGAAAGCTACAAAAAAGAACGGTACTGTAATTACCGATTCGTCGCTTTCTTCTTCTTCGAATTCATCCTCAAAATCAACGGCAGCGAACTCTGACTCAGAATCCCAATGGAATCCACCTCCAAATCCTATCGCCAGCTTTTCACCAGATGCTCGGATTTCGTCTCGCTCGGCTATAAGCTTCAAAGCACCGACGATTTCCGTAATGTAACTAAGTAATTCGACGCAAGGCTCCAAAACAGGGGATTTAGCCGTGTCTCCGGTAACTTCGATTAGTGCATCTGATTCTTCTTTTGCTAGCAAGCGTTCTCGCACTAAAAACGCGTGCATGGGTACTTGACATTTTTGGAGCCAGCGGATTGCAGCTCGAAGAAGAAGTATATGGCCACTGCCGTCACCGTCCGCAGCCAGAGTAGCCATTATAGGAACAAGTTCGGCAAAACCAGCTCCATTGTGCGGTGGGCTTAGAAGCTGCGTGCTGCACTTCAACAAAGCACTCAATATTGTCGCCGGAACTTGCTTGTTCACTTGGCTGCAATAACAGTAGGAACAATCGACGTCAGGAAAACTGAATTTATTCAATGAACTTCCCAAGGAACCTCACGAATATTTCCATTCATCAGGCATCGCGTTTACGATGAACAATCATACCTCGGTTTCATTAAAATAACATTTTGTCGAAAGTTGGTAATTTAAATAAACTGCTAGCTTAAAGCTGCACATACGATAGTGGCTACACTCAAACGTATCGTTAAAAGTTTAAATGATAACAGCTCGCTTGTGGACTCATGAGACATTACCTGTTTTCTTTAACCATGAACTTCGTCAATGCGGCCAACAAACTGCGATTCTCCTGAATTCTTTCTTGGTCTTCGGAGGAAAGAAAACTTGCAGACGCTTTGGCAGCCGCCGCAGCTGCAGGGGTAGACTTGGACGCGGGCGCTGGGGATGGAAGAATTGCCGCCTGCTGGGCACCTGGGGACGATGCAGCCGGAAGTCCCAGAATCATTCTCTCCAGCCAACGTTCCCACTTGGCAGAGGGAATGTCATTGAGCTTCGTAGCAGCCAAACGCAGCGCCGACAGCTTTTTCTCTTTCGAATTTTTCTCAACTGCAAATCGTAAAATTACATACATTCAGAACACCCAGTGCTCGGAAGACGATAGTGCAAAAAAATCAATTTTAAATCAATTGTCAGCAAGAAAATCCCACCAACAAGCCATCCACTGCACATGCAGTTTCTCTCAACAGGGGGAAAAATATTGATAACTTCTCCTCTACGAACATTACATGAAACAAAAAATTAAGAGTTCCCATTGCAGGTCACCGTATTTACAAAACGTAGATTCGCAATAAGCAACAGAGAGAAAAAAAATGCATTCAACACATCAACTTGATATTTTTTTAATCCACAAATTCAAAGGAAAATAAATCTAACCTTTCTGAAATAGTTTATTGAAGAATTTCAAGACGCGTATCGCATACGGTGACGAAAGCGATTCCGAAGTTGTTGAAAATAGCAAAACCGAGAGAGACCCTTTAGGAGCTGACGGAGAGGCCAGCACTTGAAATAATGCTTGACGCCCAGTGTTACAGTCCAACAGCGCCTCACAGAACCTCATGCAACACTGCAGCACTCCGTCTTTCACGCAACTGCGGGAACACACGGTCACATAAAAGGAATTAAAATTTAAACAAACAAAAAACTCACGGTTCTTTCTCAGCCAGGGTCAAAAACTTGCACATTATCCTCAAAGCGTGACAAAATAGACGCTCTTGACAAGCAGAGGAGTCTGACTTTGAAAGAGCTTGAGAGATAAAAGACATGACATAACCCCCAGAGCTTTCGCATGCGGCATCCAAAACTAACGGAACCACTGCATCGACGATCTGGTTCCGGTACGGGCCTGATTTCGGAACCCACCTGAAAAGGAAACAAGAATCAATTTCTTAACTTGAACGTGTTTGAATGCGCTCAACCGTCGAACAAAAAATTCCAAGCAGAAAGACGAAGTTACACGAAATGGGACGTCAGTCATTGTGTCCAAAAACCACAGAGCAGAGAATCATCCTCGAAAATGAAAAATAATGCATGTAATTCATAGCTCACCAGTACAGGAATGATGAAATGTAAATTAAAGTATCGAGAAGTCGTTTCAGGTGATGACAGAGCGGACCGTTTCCGCCAATTTTTCCAGCAGACTGCGAAATTGTTCCCAAATGGGCCTTCAATATTTCACAGACGAATCCTTCGCAAGGGATAACTTCATTCTGGAACGGCGTAGGCTGAAAATTAAGAATAAATTTTTATTATTTCTTCAAGTATAAAAAGTCACGAAATCTTTTCAGATAGTAGTTTCTGGAAAGCAAAGCCATCGTGATATGTTCGACACTGAAAGGGCGTTCTACACGAGTTTTCGACCGCAGAATCTCTAGAAATTCCAACTCACCCAATTCGTGATGGAAGGAAATTTGGCGGCACACTTCGTCGAGGTCCATTTCTCTAACGAGTTTTTCAAAGGATCCGGTAGCGTGTCCATAATTTCACTACTCAGGACATCCGTCGGGTAGTTGTCAGAACTTTTCGACAGCTTGGTCAACCTGGATGATGCCAAGGATATTGCCAATCCGTAACATTCCTGGGCATCAGTTCCCAAGCGGTTCAATGCAGCTTGCGATTCATACATCGGCGTTCGTGCGGTTTCCTCCGCAAATTGGTGAATAATATTCCAACTGAAAAAAATTATTATTTTATTTCAGACGCGAATCATTTCTGAACTCGTCAGATTACACCTCCTCCACAACCGAAGGGAATCAGAATTATTTGCTTGAACATGTAAGTAACACGAATATAATGTAATTCAATCAGCTGAACCTAAAAGTGAAACTCGATAAATGTATGTACTGTACTGTACATACGCGATGAAAATTTCTTCGTGGAAATTCAATTCCAACAAGAAAGAACACTTCAATTTTTCAACAACTTAATCTCAATTCTTACCGGATGGCACTGACGACACCTTCCAATAAGGATAGAACGACTGGATACAATTCCAAAGCCAACGCAACCTGAAAAGCATCGACTTCTTCCGCAGGTGGGCCAGGAAGCAACATTCGTGACTCATTATCTAGAATCGCTATTGATGAACTTGATGAGCTCCTGGCAGTAGTAGTTGGCGTCGTAGTAATACCACTTGATGGAGACATTTGTCGTCCAACATTTGGAGTGGCCGCTTGTGATGACGTGTTCGCTTGTTGATGCACTGAAGCCAGAGTTGAACCCGTCGACGCAGCTACATGCGGACCGTCAGCGAGCGACGTATAGAGTTTTGACAATATGCAATCCACAACAACGATGTCGTAAACCTTGGGCAGAAGAGCCGTCGGAAGAAGCTTGTCTGAAAGCAAAACGATCTCACTTGGTACAGCAAGCAAATGCATGAAGCAATTGTTAGTATGCAAAGCAGCATTCTGCAAGGTGAAAATCAATTTCGTGTGATTTACGGGGTGAATCAAAGGCTTTCACAATCAAAAAAAAAAATTCCTCAACAGAGAGCAGTTCGGAGTAGCAATGGGCAGTTGGAGAGGGTCACACTGCCGAAGGAAACCAGGTCAATGAGAATGACCAAAAGTCAACGAGGCATGCGACTCTCTCCAACTCACCAGACGGCAGTAGATGAAAACCTGAAGGCACCTCATCCGGCGACATTGCATCAGAATCCTCGTGAACATCTTTTACAATATTCCGTACGAAGTTCAGTCAGCTCATGAGAAAATAAGCCAAAGTTTTGCGGTCACAGAGCTAAGCTCACCAGGTTTCACGTTGAAAAAACGTCGTTCTACAAGATCCTTGTGGGCAGCTACTGTACACCGTGCATCATGTTGAAGTCCACAACATGCTTTGCCGACGGACTTGATCAACGAATCTGCCGCTTGTGCAACCAATCCTTGCTTCACCAAGCATTCCTGAAATTTCAAATTTTTCAATGAGATCTGGAACAAAAATTTCGGGGCGGAAGTCTAAGAAGAAGAATTTTCTCAAGAATCACATTTCCCAATGGAAGCTTCAAGAAGAGAACTTTCTTTCGACGTTCAATTAGTTTAGGTTAGGGAATGTTTCAATTTTGCAAATTCGCCCTCGAAGATTTTTTGAGTGAAAAACAGTACTAAATTAAAAATACGGGGTGAATTATGTACGCTTATATTCTTCGAAACTTCAATTTTATTAATCTGGCCGGAGTTTCCTTACCTCCAAACTTTGAATATTTACCCGAAAGACATTCAAGTAAAACAATAACGACGGATCATTCGTAATCTCAATCTGAAAATTTTAGGGCGCCATGCGAAATGAAGTCCTGCGATTCCCGCGCCTGGACGCTGAATAATACTTGCCTTGATCCATGGAATAAATGCCCGATTCATCATACGTGGACCCCATATCAGAGAATGAAGTAAATGCCTCGCAGGAAGCGGCACTTCACCAGCTCGCGCCATTGACTGCATGCATCCAACAGATGGTGGAAGGGAGAGCAATAATCTGGCAAAAACGCAATAAAATGTTTGAGTTTTCTCGTTCGTACGTACGTGTCAAGAGAGCTCAAAGAAAGTCTTATTGATCGACAAATAATGATCATTGGTCAAATCGAACGAAAGAAATAAATACTTAGAAACAATTAATTTAATGCCGCAAAATAATGAGAATTTTTCAAGGCGATAAATTATTTCTTACCTCCATATGATCGACATCACATACTGCACACCGCAGATTCCGGTGTACGATAAGTTAGAATCAGTTGAACCTGCATGCGACGGTCCCATCATGTAAGCCGAAGACTGGTGTTGGTTTGGATTTGTCGTATTCAAGGGATGAGGAACTTGATATCCTAATCCCAACAACTTCAACAGAGACGCATACAAATCCGCATACTGAAGTACGTCGGGGGAGGAAAGGATAAAGCTGCAGGCCTGTGGAGTACATTCAACAAGAGAATTACGAAGTAAAACTTTGCCGAAAAGAAAGATCCACTTACGAGTCCGTCAACTTTTGGCTGGTCGATCGATGCAATCTCAATTGGTGCGAGATTATAAAATCTTGGCCGGATACCCAAAGTATCGCTACACATTTCTCGAGATGAGTTCTTCCAATAAATTTCCTCTAGTTCTCCAATTCTGAAGTAACTCTTGGAATTTCCAGAAAGAATTTTCTCAACATCCCCAGCTTTTCCTTCCACATCATCTCCACTCGCAACACTGGTCCCTCTGACTTGAGTATTATAGCTAAAAAGGTTTCTCTGAACCTGAGGGGAAAAAAATAAGCTCAAATGAAGCTTTTGTCCAATGAAGAAAAAAATCTGTTCCTCACCTGATCAAATAAAGCAGCAGGCGCATCATACAAATGCCGCATCAAATATTCGAATAACAGAAGGAGGCGCGACAAATGCAAGATTTGTGAGTCTTGAAGTAATACGGAGAAGTCCAGTCCTTGGACGCACGACATGATACACTTGGCGCATGAAAGCAGGATAGTTTTCTTCTGCATCAGTGGTATCGAGTGAAATAGAAACAGCAACAACTGGGCATGTTCCACATTCAGGTCTGCAAAAACATTGAAACGAAATCAATACCGTGCTCAACTATCAAAAAATCCCCGACTATAACGATTTAACAGAAAATAATGATCGACTTTTAACCTCATTTACAGCATATGATTTCATTCGATACGACAACGTTATGCAGGGACGGTCATTTAGTCACACAAATCCACTTTTTCAATAAACAATACTTGATTCAGAAGTAGGGCTTTTTATGCTCACGCCATTTTCCTTAATTTTCAAGGAATGAAAATTTCCATCCAGTTCTACACGTTCCATCATAACAATTGGTTCAAAACGTGGTTAAATATTATCTTGGTTAAATACGTGATTTCTGGATTGATTTTCTTTCATTTTCTTCAAGGTCACGTAATTAAGTGTCGCAAAAATTCACCTCTAACTTCTTTAATGATACTCTTGAATAATCAATCCCAAGTTCTACAGAATTTTTGGCGATTTTCCGTGCGATGAAAAATCGAAAACAGAATATAAATTTTTCGAACATTCTAATGTAATTGGAGAGCTCAGAAATGTGGGGAAATCAATTGAGAACAGATTGAAAAAAGAATCAAAGCATTTTCCATAAGCTTGTAACATTCTGAAAAATCTCTTCGATGCTTTACTCAGGAAGCATACATTTTTTCCATCTTCACACGTGAAAAAATCATAATTTAGCCTCACAAACTCACGTTAAATTACTTTTCCGGCTCAAGTAGAAGTCATGCATCAATACTCCTTCGACAAGAAAAAAGAAACCTTACCTTCGACCTCATTCGCATCGAATATCGGCGGTGACGAGACAGTCGTCCCTCCTGGTGACGAGCTCAAGTTATTCCCTGCGCTGGTCGAGTTCGGTAAGCACAGCGTGTAACGCATCAGGCTGTTGAGTACTCGCTCCCACATGAGCACGAATAAGTCCGTCCCTCCACAGCCTGTCGCGGCTGCTGATTCTGTCCCAGTACCAGAAGTCACGTTTTCTTTTACAGGAACCACTGCAGGTGGAGAGGGCAACACGGGAGACCCGCCCAAGCTCGACGCCTTTCCATCCGCAGCGAGAGTTCCCTCTTTTCCTTGTTTATGCCTCAGCAGCAGTACCTGGATTTGAACAGAAATCGATGCTGATCTGGCACGTGAAGGAACGGCAACAAACTCGAATGTGGATAAGGTTCTCGGAAACTCAACGAAACGAGAACAGGGACCAAAGTTCGATTTTTTAATTATCGTTTGATATAACTATGACTTCTCACTACTGTGTATATCTCTAAAAATGAGTTAGACCTGCAATTTAATTATTTGTCTGGAAGAATGTAAAAAGGATAACACGGCGGTATATTCAAATGCGTGTGCATGGCGCAATTCAAATAATTAAAATGCTGAAGTGAAACACAAATACTGAAATCATATGCTAATTACGACATATTGAAAAAAATCTCCAGACTCAAAACTAAAATTTCGATTCATATAATACACAATACATCACGAAGTAGTAATTAATTTTTTATTTTGGAGTTTAATGAAAGCCAAGTTATAGGTTTTTGATTGAATGCAAAAAATGGTCACAATAATTAAAAGTGAATAATTTAATATCATCGGAATAAAATAATATTCTTTCGTTACCTGCGCCAGCACACTCAACGAGCGAGGCAGTATCAGCAATGGCCATTCTGACTCAGTCGACGGATTCACACCAAGATGAGTCAATAAGGAGTCTTGCAAAGAATAGCTGAGGAGCCCAGGGATGGCGATCAAGTTGTGAGTGTATCCAGCAAGGGCTTTTGAAAATTCTTCGTAAGCCACGAGCAAATCTGAGCCCATGCTAATGGGAGAACTTTCCGTTCGACACATCTCCCGGTCTAGATCTTTGATAATGGCAGCCAGAACAATCATCAGTCCGTCACCAAGGCCTTGTCGCGTATTCTTTTGCACATATACGGATGGATGGCAAATTAGCGAAGAATTCATGAAGTTGAACACCGTCGTCGCAAGATTAATATACTGGAAAAGAGTTTGAGCATCATGAGCTCACTGCGAATTTAAAATTATGCAACAAAAGAAAATCTTACGGTTCTTGGTTCACGGGGATCAGGACTTTCCTGCAGCATTTTCTGAATGTTCTCGGTGCGCTTCGAAGCACGTTCTTCTTCAGGAGCCGAGTCCAGTGACTTCAAATCTTGGTCAGGTAATTTCATTGTTTTTTCGAACCATTGACCCAGGAGGGGTCCACTATCGTCTACGAATGAAGAAAAAAGGTATTATTTTGACGCTATTGAGCCTTAAAATATCTGAGAATTCCAGGACTTACCATCATCTTGCGAGCTTTCGTCAGAGCACGAGACGTAGTCGTCGTAAAAAGATGTTGAGTCCATCGAAACGGTATCCCCATCATTTGACACTTGCTGTCGCCTCAAGAAATTCGCCTAGAACGACGGAAGGTCACTCGTAAAAAAATAATAAATTAATAAAATGAAGTGATTGTATTCAAAAATACCTTGCGATAGGCGACTGATACTAGATTGAACAAGAAGTGGTTCACGTTCAGCGACGCAAAAATCTGATGGACCCTCGTGAGCGCCCCAGCATCGGCAAGTACATTCAACGGCGCTGGATTCAATCGCGCTTGCATTCCATTATTGAGTTCTTCGGTTTGCAAATCCAGCAGCAACATCTTCAGCAACCCAATGCCTTGCGAAGCAAGTATCACGAGTAGGGGCATAAATCCTTGTTGACTGCGAAAGGAAAATGGTATAATTAATTCATGATCAAAATAAAATGAATAGCGACCAAAATCGAAATAAAACTTACACTTTCATTAAATTGACTTTGGGAGCACTTCCCGAAGTCGTTTGCGTCTTGAAAGGACTATATTCACTTGATGGCAACCGATGACGTGAACTTCCACGTTTATCCTCTTCGGTTCCAGAATTAGGCCTGTCTGCAGTTTTCTGGCCTCCAATAACGTTGCAAGCCATTTGGACTCCATTCAAGCAAAGCCAGCAGGCCATTAATTGCAAATTTTGGTAATACTAGAAGAATCAAAAATTAGAAACAAAAAAGCTATAATAAATTCGAAGAGACAAACCTTTCCCCCAGTACGGGTCGAGTTCCGAACAGCCTGAAACACATTTCCAACGATTTCCTGAGTTGTCACAACGAGGTCTGAGAGTGAATCTGATGTTGCCGGGGCAGCAGACCCGGCAGGAGGAACTGCTGCATCGTCACTCGAAGCTTTCGAGGATACTCCAACAGACGAGGCCGACTGGTTCCCGGTGGGCGAAGCCATCAACGTCAGAATTCCATGAGCAGCTGCGGCACAAACCAGAGCCACCAAACACGACATAGATATGTCTGTCACGATAACGAGACGATCCTCGGAAAGAGGTTCTATCACTGGCAGGGACAATACTTGAGACACGAGTTGAACGTCCGAGGCCAAAAATGAAAAACTGGGAAGCAAAAAGAATATTGCAATTGAAAATATTCGGAGTTCAACATTCCGTTGACACTGACCTCGACCGAATGGATAAAGCCTCTGGAACCGTTGAAGGAACAATCAAATGATTCGCGGACTGGGCTTCTTTCCATTTGGCAACGTAACGCGACAAATACGGTAGATTCAAACAGAACCGCAGCAACGACTCACTCATCCTCAACGCCCTGAAATTACTTTGGTTTCCTGAGATGAACAACGCCTGAAAAGAAAAGAGGTAGACTTTCAAGATTTGGGAAAAACCATCTTTATAAAAGGTTGTCTAACCTTAGGCGTAACAGAGCTGCGTGCCCCAAAACGACTTCCATCGCGTTCCAAGTCCCGCTCATAGCCTCCACTTGACTGAGCCGAGCAGGACGAAATTTTTCCCAGAATCCCCGCTTCGAAACCAGAGAATTGCGTTTCAGTAACGTGAATCGGTTGACTAAGATTATCTGATATGGCAGAAGCAGGGTCGGAACGAGGCGCCCTCCTCGGCTGAGAAGTGGGACTTTCCTTCGCACCTGATTTGGAGTAGCACGAGCACATTCAGAAACTGAAATTTCGCACAGTTCGAAATTACGAACCAATATTCCCACTCTTGAGGCAAGGAGGAGCCTTCGCACTCTTCAGGGCAGCCACCAAAGCTAGCTGCGTCGAATGCGAAAAAGTGTTGTTTCCTGAGCACAACGCTTCTAGAGCCAGAAGTATTTCGTTCGGCGAGACCGTGGCGAACCTTCCAGATGTCGAAATCGCTGTCGCCGGCGAGTAGCTCTCCTGAGACGCTGACTCCACCGGACGACCACCGCAAGACCCATCTTCTGTTTGTGCCAGCCAAGTCACAAGGCATTTCAGCAAAACTTTACAAGCTTGCGTCACGAGGGGCAATTCCGAGTGCGACACTGAAAAGAGAGTGCGTGCTTCTACCTCTTTCATCACTTGATGGCTAAGTACTTACACTCAGAAACAAAGCTGCTCAGGTATTCCGCGGCGAGAACCGCGAAATTCCCGTAGAAGGCATGGTAAGGTCCATCCACATCGATCAATTCATTCTCACTAGAAACGAAATCATTAAAGAAACTTCTCGAGGAAACTGATGCGCTGGCTAACTCACCTGCTCAAAATGGCTTTGCATATGTCTAAATATTCTATCTTGACGAATGAGCCGGTTGGCACTACTACTACAGGCTTTATCACTGCCACCCAATCGGTGAATTGACTCATTTCACCAATATTTCCGATAACATGATCAGCGCAAAACTCCGCGCGAGAAAGACGCTCTGCTTCGTCCACGCGAGGCGCAGGTATGTCGTCACAGCGCGCCGCCATGGTCTCCCAATATTTTGCTGGCTGCATTCTCATCGCAGCATTTCTGAATTAGTCGGCGAATTGTTTAACCCGTAAATTCATCCGCACGGGTTTCAAACAAATCCGTGCCTTATTATTTATAACTGATGAGATTTCTTTGAGTCGAGTAGCTCACTCGAAAAAGCTGAGGAAGATTTTGAGTGACTAACGCAGGTTCCTCGTAAACCACCCGATTATTGTATTCCAGTTTTTGGTTTAGTCACACTCACAGAGCTTATCTCAGGGGCAAGTGAGTTGAGTTTGGCGCAAGAAGTACAATACCGTACACGCATTCGATAGTCTAAGGAAAGCTTTTCGCTATTTCAAAGCTCCTCGCGACCTCGCCTGTCCCTTTGTTATGCGATCCTAAAATCTAACGCAAGCTTGACATTAGTTCAGACTTCGGTATTAGCGAGATGCATGCGCGGCCAATAAGGGGTGCCGTTCTAAACTTTATTCCTTGCGTCCGGGGGTGGTGCCGTCGTGGTGGGGAGAAACTTACGTTCGATGAGCAGCAGCCAATTATCCCCGGCAGTTTGGCTTCATCAAGTGATCAAGGTCCTATTCTACAGCGACAGTCTGCCTCTGCAATTACCCCCGTTGCGTCACGTGACGCAGGCGGAACGACGCTCGAATAGGGAGCTGATTTTACCGATGCTGATTCCGAGTTGATTCTCCCCTCTGGACTCGGGATTCAAGTTTCCAGCTAGGTTCTCGTTTGCTGAACACTTCTGGCTTATACATGAGCATTGGGCAACTAAAAACTTCCGAAAATGTTGCTTGGTTCCAGGTAAAGAGGAATGGTTTCATCAAATTTATTTTCTCATCCATATGAACCTTTGATGTGAAGCGTCAGGATCTTTGCTCTCACGGAAGGGTGAAAACTGCATTGAAAATTACTTTCCTTCAGCAATCATTGAATTTCTCGGAGTAATCGGAATTCTAATATAAATGCTTGTTTTTCAAACAGAAAAGCCGCCATATCTATCCTGGCAATTGGTTTAAACGTAATTTTTTAGAAGTCCTGTAAATATTTAACCAAAGGCTGGAAATGTCCTGCATGCTGCATGGCTGCTTAAAAATCAGTTAGGGACGCGTGGAACTAGGACAACCTTCCCATTAACTCCTAAACCCGCCTTCTATTGTGAACCTGTACGATTTGTCAGTTTCCCTCCACAGATATTTTTCAACTATCTGCATACTAGTCATAGCATGAAGAAAGTTGAACTAAAAAGGAATTTTTATAAAACATGTTCGTGCTTGCTTATGGGTGTGCTCAGAAGATGTGTTGATTTGCCATGGTATAAAGGAGCCCTCACACATTGGTACGCATTCACATATTTGTTGCTCTCCTTACTTGCGAAGAAAAGGAGCAAAGTGCAAATAAAAGTTGCTTGTTTTCAGTAGCGTACCGAAATGAATTGACTGCCAGCGTCAGGTAGAGAAAATAATATTCATAATGTTGATTGCCGCTAGTTTTTCTCAAAGAAAACCGTTGTACCTATTACTTTTCTACACATCATGTCATGCAAGAAAGAATTCCTAGAACAGCTTTGTGCTTTGGCCTGATATATAGATTAGCATAACTGTTACTCGTCGCTTTCGAGTCCGCCATTTGATGCATTGGAGCCATGTGGAATTTGAAGTCAAATTTCTTGAATGATGGGAATCTAAAACGGGATATTTTAAAATTTCGTTCATTTCCGGCAAGTTACTTGGTGACAATTTATTCAGGTATAGATTCAAGATCAGGGATTTGAAATTTACGGATATGCCCCTGGATTCGAAAATCGTCGCGGTACGTACCCCAGAAACTCAAAAGCTGATTTTTCTGCTGCGTCATTCGCCGCCTTTCGCTCACCCGTGTTGCTCAAGAATCTGGGCACCACGTCGTTGATGATATTGAAGGAAAACCCACTTTTTGTTCTTATAGGAGTCACCGAGCATATTTCCCTGTAACTGCCATTGCAAATGAAAATAAAATATAAAGACTCAGTAGAGAGAGGGCTGAGGACCACATGAAATTCAACCTTGGTGATCACGAAGATAAGATAAACTTTGTGGTTGATTTCTACTTAGACGAGGAGAAGGTTGAACATTGAATTTCAAGCGTACATTTTATCGGTTCTTTTGCTTTCTTTGTGTTTTACTTTTCAAACTTCAAATGTTCGTGTTTTGATTACTTTGACAACTGCTGTTTCGCGCTATAATTTTTCTCAGAAGCTGTATCTGCGGCTCTTTGTTGGCTGGTTATTAAAAATGTCAGGTTTTAATTCTTCCGTGTACGTTTCTTTATTTTTTATAGTTGATGTCGCATAATTTTAATTGTAATCCAGGGAAAAATAAGTACTGACTGGAGCAACGCTGTCGCTGGATCAGCTATTCTTCCGATTAATTTGAAAAAGATCGAAACGGCCAATACAAAAACGTTTTCAATACAAAGACTGTTTTCATTATACATTTCTAAGGACGAAGGATCAACTAAGACTGGAACGAAAATAAACCAAATCTTGTGACATTGAAATATTATTACTTTTAGGCTTCCATTTGGTCTTCCAGAAATGCTCCTCAGGGTTTTAATTGAGTCGAATCGTTTCAAACAGAAAATTGAAGAAAACAGAGAAATGAATATACTGTATAGGTTTTTCTCTCAATTTGTTTCACGCCAAAAGCTTTTTCTGAAACGGCGTTTTACATACTTTCCTCCGAATTCAAAGTTTGAAAAACGGCGATCTTTCTCGGCCAAAACTAGAGTTTTCAAATTTTTTCCTATTCGAATTGCGGATTTTTCGAGATGAAAGCTAATAAATCTCCGACGGAAAATATTTTTCTTCTCATCCAGCATTCAGCTCATTTGAAATGATTCTTTCAAAGAATAAATTATAAAATCTCCAACTTGAAACGCGGAGATATTTGTCAGTCGAAACTTATGGCCAGAAACGTATGTCTGGTGTTAACTTGTGTTGCATCGTTTTATGATTAAAAAATAAAAAATAAAACCAAGCGAGAGATTTCGGTCATTTTACGTTCAGAATTGAAATCTTTCAAACAAACAAAAAAGTTTGCCAAAATTCCAAGCCAGCGTAATACAGTATACTGTTGTTTTAAAACCTGGGTGCGGCCAACAGTCGCATTAAATACGGTATCTTTGATATTTACAAGGAATGAAAAAAAATTAAAATGCACTTCCGAATTCCAAGCAACAATTTTTCGGGGGGAAAATAAATTGAGCGTTCGAAAAAAATATCAATTACAGTATGCTAATTCACGAGAAATTTTTTCCATAAGAATGCTCGCCGAACACTTGATTATTTTCAACGAAAGATTTGAAATTCAAGTACTGTAGAGTATAAAGTGTTTCTCCTCTTAATTCGCTCCTAAATAAAAATCAGAATGCGGTCTATGAATCCGCACATAAAATACTTCATCTTGCAAATGGCGGAATTTGCTAGAAATTCAAGAGATCCGAACAAACACCCGCGTGACAAAAATGAGAGAAGTAGTGGGGAGACATACGAAAATTAAGAAGAAAAAAATACTTAGATGGAGAATAAAAACTACATGTGCCTTTGGAAATTATGTGAATGTAATGGAAAATATTTATCGACCTGATATGGCAAACAAATGCTTTGTGACTGTCGAAAACTACAAATGTTTCAGGGAAGATGCGGTTAACGAACACATTTCCCCCCTCCATCTACTTCAAAAATTCTGAAAAAATTATTTTTACAATCCGGGTGCGGAATATCAGTAAATCATGTACGGTATCTTTGGAATGGCGGAATTTGAGAAGAATTAAGAGAACCGAACGGCGGACGGCGCTCACAGAAAGGAGAAAGAATTGCAGAAAAGAAAGAATCGAAGAAATGCAGAAAAGAAAGAATCGAAGAAATGCAGAAAAGAAAGAATCGAAGAAATGCAGAAAAGAAAGAATCGAAGAAATGCAGAAAAGAAAGAATCGTTGAAATGCAGAAAAGAAAGAATCGAAGAAATGCAGAAAAGAAAGAATCGAAGAAATGCAGAAATAAATATGTATATACGATAAATATATTCATATGCAGTATAAATATATATACTGTACATATACTGTACTGTATACAGTATATTGAAAGATGGAGAATAAAATCTGCCCGTGGCTCTGGAAATTATGTGCATTCAATTCCAAAATTCTCGACCTGTGATGGTAAAAAGTAATTTCTATTTTTTTTACGGTAAGAAAAAATAGAAACGTTTCTCGGCGTAACAAACTTTTTTTCCCGTATATAGCCAATGCTGAAAGAAATATAGAAATATTCAAAAATAATATCTGGGTGCGGCACATTTTTGTACTGTACATCATATACGGTATCTTTGGAATGGCGGAATTTGGTAGGAATCAAGAGAATAACCGAACGGACGTCCGCGGGCAGCAAACGAGTGAACAACAAAATCGCAGCAAAAAAAAAGTATCAAGCAAATACAGAAATAAAGAAATACATGTGTATATATGAAGAGAGATGGAGAATAAAAACTGCACGTGGCTCCGGAGAAATTAATTTCGCGTTTTATTGCCCGCAGCGGAATTGCGATGCGAGATGGAGTCGATTCTGCGCCGACAGGTGATGGCCGCCGCCGTGTCGGAGCAAAGTGCCGACGTCTCGGTTCCGCGCCGGGGGTTTGTCGGCGGGCTTCATTTCCGCGCCGCGAGGATGCTCGCCGATATATATAAAAGCCGGCCGCGGGGGAGGATTGATTTACGGCAAGAACTGCATTTTTACCACTGAGCAACAGGCGGCCTGCCATCAGCCTGCCTGCCTGCCTGCATATCCGTGTATACTGCACACATATACGCATATACGGTACATACATGCTTCCCAGGGCATTTCCGAAACTTCTCAGAGAGACGACGACGAGTCCTGCTCGCGCCATACAGTAATGTACTCAGTCATCTGAAACAGGTTGCCGAACCCCCTTTCCCCCCCATTTTCTATACTGTACTCATG